AGTCACTTTTTTCAATGCCATTGTAGCTTCGAATGGTCACTAAATGAACTTAAATGGTCATATGGTTTGCTGTATTGTACATGGGACAGAAAAAAAATTCTGTATCACCTCAGCGGACATCTGCTGTGACCTTTTTTCTGATTTTTGCAAATCTTTGCTTCCTCTTCTTTTCATGGACTGTTATAAAAGAAAGAGCAAGTATAACAAATATTTTAATAAATGCATGCTATCCAAGTTTATTAAGCCACCATTCAAACAATATGAAAATTCCCAGATTTTTTTTATTAATATTTTTCATTTCCTCATCCAGAGATGCTAGGTTGAAACACGGCCAGGGAAGATTAATTCAGTGTTCTTTAAATGTCCTTGTTCTTATTGATCTAAATGCAATAGCAAGGAACATGCTGAAGATTAAAGTAGTTCATAAGTATTAAATAGCATTTTTAAATGTGTTGAGTCAGGTACTGCCTTCAACACAATTGTATTCACTAAAGAGATCAATTTTTTTTAAAGTCTTCAATAATCATTTCTCAGATCTGCAGGTTGTTTATCATGATAAAATAATAAACAGACTTTCAAATCTGTCTGAAAAGCAAAACTGCTTTTTTGCCCACAGATCAGCTGTAACCAGTGCAGTCAGAGAAGAGGCAGGAAACATAGCAAAATAGTATATTACAACCCATGATGTACCTATCCCATTTCAGTCAATTTAGCCTGCCACCCTTCTGATGAGAAGCTTATCACTGACCTCTTTTATTTTGTCAAATTCATTCTGAAAAGCATGCTTTGCAATCTCAGCTTCTATCAGCTGCTGCCTCAACTTTTCGTTTTCATCTTCTGTGGTGGAGCGTTTTTCTTCCACATTTTCCAACTCATGGTGAAGTCTTACTGAAACATCTTTTGCAACCTACATGGAAGAACATTTAACATTTTCAAGCAGGAAAATAACTTTTGATAGTAGGGCTTAATACACTTGTGAAGTTTAGGGGTGTATTGTGGCAACTCATATCAGTTCTATTAAATACTGAATAAAATGTTCTTCCTAATTAAAAAAAAAACACAAGTGAAATTAGGTTTACCTCAGACACTCCAGTTTACTCTTTTGAGATCTATTCCAATACTCAGCAACAATAGGATGAATAGAATCCCCAAAGATTAATTCTTTGATCATTAGAATCATGGCCCCAACCCAGCCAGCAACTGCCTTGAGGTCTTAGTCTGAGGAGAATTACAACCTTAGGAAGGGAAACTAGAGCAAAAATGGAATTAACAAAGTACAGGTATTCTCATCGTATGACTGCAATTGAGCCCAACATTTCTGTTAAGTGAGACCTTTGCTCAGTGAATTTTGACCCATTTTAAGATCTTTCTTTTCATTCATTTCATTTCATTTTATTAGAATTTATAGGCCGCCCTTTTCCCTGAGGGGACTCAGGGCNCCACCAATGGGCCCTTCTCTTTTGCGGTGAGGGGGACGGGAATCCTCATCACTTTCTTTCTTCCCTGCCTCACTTTCAGCATCGCTGTCCCTGGGACTCCCTCGGATCCCCAAATGAGAGGCTAAATCATAGCGCTGCATGTTGGACAACAGTATCCTGTTCTCATATTGGAGCTGCATGACTTTGCCACTGAGTTCATTAATTTGCATGCGGGTAGCCTTCAATTCTTCCTGAAGCATTTCCGTCTTAGCGCTGTCATGGTGTCGTGAACTATCATGAGTTCCAGTCTTGTATTTGTATTTGTTCAGCTCTGCAGTGACACGTTTGTTTTGCTCTTCTGCATCAGATAAGTTCCTCCTCAATAGTTCTGTCTCATCTTCAACTAACTGCAGATGCTGCCGTAACTCTGAGACAGATTCATTCGGTTCTCCCAGGAGGGGGTTGGCTGCCCCGGAGAAATCATCTCCTCTTAAGTCATCAAGCTCTGCTTTCAGTCCTCTGTTTTCCACTTCCAGTTCCACGATTTTCCTTCCAAGGATATTGGCTTCTTCCTCTACTAACCTCAGACGGAGCTTGAGTTCTGCTTCTCTTGTGCTAGGTGGACCTCCTGCTTCCCCTTTGGGTAAGGGACTGTCTAGATCACCATAAAATAACCTATACTTCTGAAGATCGTGCTCAAATCTGTCCTTTTCCTTGTCAATTTTGGCTAATTTTTTTCTCATCAGAGTAGCCTCTTCTTTGACAAATTGCAACTGGCATTTCAGATCTTCACTGTCCTCCTGTGGCAAAGAAAGAATAACTCCCAGTTATATTGCTTTACTCCTGGGGAGGCCAAGTGACAATTAGCACAAAATGCCAATATGTTCAATATGTACAAATATATACATATGCAGTACACAGACAGACAGCACAACATGGGAACTGACAAGGTGCCACACTTGCAACAAAAAGTGTGACTCAGTGTTCAGTTGCAATCTTCGTCATCTACAGAAACATGATCATTTGGATCCTAATTAGATGAATCAGTTTCATAAAAAGAGCTCTGATTTTCACACAGTTGACTAAGGAAAGGTTTGCAATTATCTATAATTATTAAGGTTTGCAATAATCTATAATTATTATCTATAATTTACAACCACAAGTGAGCCCAGAATTTATGTCACTTAGTGAGAAATTTGTTGAGTGAGTTTTGCCTCATTTTATGACTTTTCTTGCCACCTTTGTTAAGCGAATCCCTGCAGTTAAATTAGTAACACAGCTGTTAAGTGAATCTGGCTTCCCCATTGACTTTGCTTCTCAGAATGTCGCAAAAGGGGAGCATATGATTCTGGGACATTGCAACTATCATAAATATAAACCAATTGTCAAGCACCTGAATGTAAATCATGTGACCCTGGGGATGCTGCAATGGTCATAAGTGGGAAAATGGTCATAAGTCACTTTTTTCAATGCCATTGTAGCTTCGAATGGTCACTAAATGAACTTAAATGGTCATATGGTTTGCTGTATTGTACATGGGACAGAAAAAAAATTCTGTATCACCTCAGCGGACATCTGCTGTGACAATTGGTTTATAT